TTTACTAAAATATCGCAGTTTTCGTATTTATGAAAATTACCGTTATATGGGAGGTAGGCGTGGTTATTGTCCGATTTTGCCCATTTCCATCCGTCCTACGCCAGAAAGAAGTGCACGTACCACGTTTCGTTAAGATATCTCAAGTTTTACTCGAGTTATCGTGTGCACAGATGGACGGACTGACGGACAGACAGTCACCGCTTAACCGATTTCTCTTTTCATTCTGATCATTTATGTATACATTTGTTTACATCTATCTGGATTCATTTTGCCTGTTATGTGAACAAAGTTATAATACCCTTGTGCACAAGTGCGCTCGGGTATAAAAAGTTTTCCCACTTAAAGTCGAAAATTATGGACGAGCTGTCCTGCCAAAACCTGTAACAGTGGATCAGTGGTGAAAGAAGTGCTAGGAGGCTCGGAGTGCCTATGCAATGGAACGGACAGACAAATTATTTTGATGACTTAGTTCTTCTTTTTTTTTGGCGCTGTAACCGTCTAAGCGATTTTGACGGAGTTCAGCAAAGCACGCCAGTCGTTTCTCTTCTGTGCCAACTGACGCCAATTGGAAACACCAAGTGGGGGCCTCCCTCTTCCTCTGCTACCACCAGTGGGTTCCGAGTTGAATACTTTCAGAGCTGGAGCGTCGGTGTCCATTCGAACGACATGACCAAGCCAGCGGAGCCGCTGCATTTTAATTCGCTGCACTATGTCCATATCGTTGTAAAGCTCATACAGCTCATGGTTTCATCGTCTGCGGTACTCGCCGTCGCCAACGCGTAAAGGCCCGTAAATCTTCCGCAAAATCTTTCTCTCAAACACTCCAAGAGCCGCCTCATCGGATGTTGTCATTGTCCATGCTTCTGCGCCATATACCAGCACGGGCATGATGAGTGACTTATAGAGCGTGGTTTTCGTACGTCGAGAGAGGACTTTACTCCTGAATTGCCTACTCAGTCCAAAGTAGCACTTGTTGGCAAGAGTGATTCTGCGTTGGATTTCAATGCTGACATTATTATCGGTGTTAATGCTGGTTCCCAAGTAAACGAAATTCTCTACTTTCTCGAAATTGTAACTGTCAACAGTGACGTGGGTGCCAAGGCGTGAATGTGCTGACTGTTTGTTTGATGACATGAGATACTTCGTCTTGTCCTCGTTTACCACCAGACCCATTCGCTTTGCTTCCCTATCCAACTGGGAAAAGGCAGAACAGACTTCGCAGTTTTTGTTACCGATGATGTCGATGTCATCGGCATAAGCCAGCAATTGCACGCTCTTGTAGTAAATTGTTCCTGAGCGGTTCAGTTCCGCAGCTCTTATTATCTTCTCCAACATCAGATTAAAGAAGTCACATGAAAGGGAGTCGCCCTGTCTGAAACCCCGTTTTGTGGCGAACGGCTCGGAGAGGTCTTTCCCAATTCTGACGGAGCTGGTGGTATTGCTCAACGTCATTTTACACAGCCGTATGAGTTTTAAGGGGATGCCAAATTCAGACATAGCGGCGTATAGGCAACTCCTTTTAGTGCTGTCAAAGGCGGCTTTAAAGTCGACAAATCGGTGGTGAGTGTCGATCCTTTTCTCGCGGGTCTTTTCCAAGATTTGGCGTATTGTGAATACCTGGTCTATGGTGGATTTTCCAGGTCTAAAGCCACACTGATAAGGCCCAATCAGTTCATTGACATTGGGCTTAAGTCTTTCACACAATACGCTCGATAAGACCTTGTAACCTATGCTTAGAAGGCTGATCCCGCGGTAGTTGGCGCGAATGGCGGGGTCACCTTTCTTGTGGATTGGGCACAGCACACTTAAATTCATCTGACCATATTCTGCACAAGAGTTGATGCATGCACCTTATCAACACCACGCCGCCGTACTTGAATAGGTCAGCTGGCAAGCTGTCAGCTCCAGCAGCTTTGTTGTTTTTCAGCCGAGTTATTGCTGTACGTACCTCGTCATAGTCAGGCGGTGGAACGTCGAATCCGTCATCATCGACTGTGGACTCGGGTTCTTCTTCTCCACAACTTTCCGTGCTCCTACCATTTAGTAGGGCGGAAAAATGTTCCCTCCATAATTTAAGTACGCTCTGAACATCGGTTACTAGGTCGCCATTGTTGTTCTTACAGGAGTACGCCCTGGTCTTGTAACCTTCCGTAAGTCGCCTAACTCTCTGGTAAAATTTTCGGGCATTCTTCTTGTCGGCCAGCATTTCAAGCTCTCCGCACTCACGTATTTCGGGATTTGTCTTCTTATTGCGGCAAATACGTCTCGCTTCCCTCTTCAGATCCTATAGCGGTCCCACATATCGCGCGTTGCGCACGATCGCAGCGTGGCCCTGTAGGTGGCATCTTTTTTCTCTGCAGTTTCCTGACACTCCTCATCGTACCAGTTGTTCTTTCGGGCTCGCTGAATTCCACTACTTCTTCGGCGGTGGTACTTAATGAGCGGGAAATGTTGCTCCACTGCTCGCATATGTCGGTTTGTTGAAGAGGGCTCTCTGAGAGCAGGTGTGAGAGTCGAGTAGCGAAAGCACTGGCTGTCTGTTGTGATTGCAGCTTTTTGACGTTAAGCTTTACTTGCATATTGGGGCGCACATTTTTTTCTGACGTTTAATTATGCCGTGTTAATTTGCCTGGTGTTAACGTATAAAATTATTTATTCCAACTTAGAACTGGCTAGAAGACCGTTACAACATTCAGAGGAAGAACCTATTCCAATATTTTGTTCCATCTGTGGCTTATCATATGAAGCGATTTGCAATTACCGATTGCTTTTTCATAATGAAGTTAAAAAAATATTTAAATTCCATGCTGGCTGTAATGGGAATTGGACCCTGACCCTCTGGAAATTAGCAAATTGTGGCAAGCATCTTCGCGCACTCAGCTACAGCCAGACATGTAAATGTGCATTTAAATGTTGAGTTTGAATCAATTCCACGCGTGCGTGTTATGAAAGTATTTTTTTTAAATACGAACATTTTTAAACGATAATCAAATAGAAAATATTCATGTTTACTACATATGCGTTATTTCCCTCAGTGAATTCGTAACATTTTTCTGAATATTACAACGCGTTCTTTCTCTTAGTGTAGTGATTTTTGAACTTTTATTCATATTTGTGCAATCAAATCAAAAACCGGGACACTAAAACGAAACCCGGGACATTTTAAGGTTTGACCGGGACACAGGGACAAATAGTCTAAACACGGGACAATTTTAGGATTTACCACTTCCAATTGTGATAAATATGGATTTCAAATTACAGAAAATACGCGTAGCGGTGCGCGGTACCGTTCCGCGGGGCCTAGGGACGAGCCCAGTTTTTTCTAATAGCGAGAAACAACTCTCTCGGTCGGAGCCGGCGTTAAAGTGTAGGTCCATCCACTGTCTGTGGCAACATAAGGGCGAACGCCAAAAATCAGAGGAGAAGCTCGGACAAACACTAGCATACAGTAATCGGACTTCTAGCACATTGTGGCAGATCTGCCACTTTTTTGAGCATCTACCACATCTACCACACCAGGTGTGAAATCTACCACATATTCGCATTTTCGAGTAGTTTTATTTTTGCTCGACATAATTTTCTTAAGTTTAAGAGCAAAAATTGTCAACACTAAACACTAACAACAGGCTGAATGGGATTATAAAATAAACTGTAAAATATTAAATTTTCTCAATATTAATTTTTTCGACAGGAAACGTTGTTTTATTGTTAAATTGCAAAAATATGATTTATAAAAATAATTGATAGTGAAAATGTTACAAAACGGCGATTTTTGTGAAAGTGTTAGCAAATTTCAGCAAGGTTTCTGGGCGTTGTTTACTTTTACTTGAGAATTGTCAAAATCGGCAAATCGCAAGTAGCGGTTTCTGGAACGTGCCAGATTTTTTCGCTACATCGTGATGTGATAAAAAGAAAAACTGGCAGCACTCCGCAAGGTTGCAGCAATCTTTCAAAATATGTTCGAAAAATATCTTGATATGGAAGAAAATTGCCAAAACTCAACGCAATTTTTAGCAAGTTCAATCTTGCAATTTATTAAACTAAAATTAATTTTTTTTTAGATTCTAATTAAAATGTTTGCAATTTATTTGAAACCTTGCAGAATTTTTTTAATTTTTGTACAAAGTTTGATCCAAAACCTGAGATCTACCACATTTTTTTGAAATCTACCATTTTTAGATTCTACCACACAATTTTGTTTTCAAGTCCGATCACTGCTAGCATATTGTGTAAGCGCCAAAAGATGTTTTTGGGTTTTTGGCAACGAAGACATCTTTCGAACGAATTTCTCTCGTCTTTGGCCCTTCGACAGGCAATGGCAAACGAGCGAGTTTATTTCTGCCATGAAAACCCATCTGCCGTCTGTAGGTGGTGTAAATCTGTCCCTCTAGTTGTGTGACAGCATTGGAATTTTTATGTAAAGATTTAACATTCCTAACAGAATTTAATTATTTGTATGAGGAAATAAATCGTTTTTAATGTAATACAATATGTTCTATGAATCATGTATTATCTCAAAAATTGTATTTTAACAAGCATGAAAAGCTTCGAGCTTTGGCGTATTTATTTGTCATCACAGACCAATTTTGATAATTTGATGAATGATTTTATCATCTCGTGACAAACTCAGTGAAGCAGTTATTATAATTATACACAGAATATATGTATGTATGTATGTATAGTATAAAAGAATATACAAAATTTTTAAAATAATGAGAGAAATAGTTGTGGCTCATATTTTTCTAACCAAACTTTTTCGTGTGAATATGTTATCAAATATCTGGGATAATTATCTACGAAGAAAGGCGAAAAATCATTTTAATTACAATTAATTATTTTGTTTTGGAATGCAACTTATTTAATAGGCGCCGTAATAGGCAATTTTCTAATGATGTATGTGCATTCACTCTAACTCCTTATTAACTTCAAAAAGATTTTATTTAAATTTGGTTGTAATTTTTTACAAAATTTTAATACATTGTTTTATTATTTTCTTGCAGTTCATATTCCAAAGCGCTTCAACATAGCAGTGATGTTGTTCATGGCATGTCTCATGAGTTATATGATGCGTGTAAATCTTAGTATTAATATTATCGCTATGGTCGAACATACGGATCCAAATGCCACCGAACCGCTCCCAAATGTAAACCAAGCTTTCGATATAAATTAAGGAATTTAAAAACTATAACTTCTTTTTACGTTCTTAGTACGGTCCGCGCTATAACTGGACTCAAACAGACCAAGCCAACTTGCTTGGTGCTTACTTTTATGGTTACATGATTACTTCATTGCCAGCGGGTATGCTGGCGGAGAATTTCGGAGGCAAGCCAGTGGCAGGCTGGAGCTGCTTAGGCGCCGCCGCGTTAACAGCACTGACGCCGCTCGCTGCAGCATGGGACAAATGGGCTGTATTTGCCATACGTTTTATGATTGGTTTCTTGGGTGTAAGTGAAATATTAAGTGCTAATTAAATACTTATTTTAATTGAATTTGTTTACCAATTTTAGGGTGTTATCTATCCCTGCTGTCACAGTAAGTAGATGTCCTTTCCGAAACTGCCCAACTTCTAAATCTGCTTGTCTTCAAACCCAGCAAAAATGAATTATGTCATTTATCTAATAAAACTTTTTTTTCATAATCAGATTTGGTCTCAAAATGGTCACCGCCCGATGAGAAAGGAAAATTTGTTGCTGCACTCATGGGTGGCACATTTGGCACTGTGATAACGTGGCCCATTAGTGGCATGCTCATCGAAGGCATGGGCTGGGACTGGGCTTTCTACATGGTGGGTCTCTTTGTTTTAATTGTTACATTGGTTTGGTTCTACATGGTCGCAGATAGTCCAGCACAACATCAGTCTATATCAGTCAAGGAGCGCGAATACATTGAAAAGAGTCTAGGCAATACTATCACCACAAAGAAGGTAGGTGCCAGTTGTTGAGTCCTGCTTTCCTTATCATAATAACTTGCTTTTTCAGAGGTGGCCACCATATAAAAGTCTGCTTGTCTCACTACCCTTCTGGGCGCTTCTGTTCTTACATTATGGTAGCATGTGGGGCTTGTTCTTCCTAATTACCGCTACACCAAAGTTTCTCAGTGAAGTACGTATTTTCCATTGGCAATGTGACAGTACCTATAACTCATTGCCGAAAAAATGATAATCCAAAACTCACATACATATCTTATTAAAGGTGCTGGGTTTCAACTTGTCCTCTGCCGGATTTCTCTCTAGTTTGCCGCATTTGGCTCGCTTGCTGTGCGCCTTTGGCTTTGGTGCCATCGCCGATCTCATCCGCCGCAAAAGTTGGTTGTCTGTCACGGCAATGCGCAAAGTTTTTTGCTTATCTTGTAAGTCGAAACTACAGACAGAAGTTGATTTGTAAACTTACCAATGAAATATGTTCCCGTTTGCTGGTAGATCGTTTCCACTTGTGTGCAAGAAAAACTAATTGTTCTTCATGTTTTGCCCAACGTTTCGCTAATTATTTTAGCATCTTCAAGGGTAAATATGAGGCTTAAATTTAATCAACTCTTAACAAAAAATTATTACAAATCATGGTTACCATCCCTCTGTTATTCTCGTTATACTGAGATCAACGAGAATAATACAGAGGTATGTAACAAAGATTGGCAATTTTTCATTGTTTTTGATATTTTACTGTTAAATATCAATTAAATCTAATCCACATATTCGCCACTGAAGATTGCAAGGTGATATTCGAAACGTCCGGAAATTCTGCAGGAAAAGTGGTTTCTCTTGCATACAAACGATATACAATTCGATCAATAACTCACTAAAAATATATTCCATCTACTCCATTTTACTTCCATTTCAGCGCATGTTTTGCCGGGTATAATGCTTATTATATTGGCATATTTCGGTCGAGATCCATACTTTTGTGTCGCAATCATGACGATCTCACTGGGTTTCAATGGTGCGGCCACGTCTTCTAACTTGCAAAATTCACAGGATCTAGCGCCAAACTATGCGGGCACACTTTACGGTATCATAAATTGCGTTGGCACTACGCCTGGCATTTTCTCACCAATGATTGTGGCTGCCTTTACTAAAGAAAGCGTAAGTGCAGTGAATAAGTGTTAAGGACTTTGTGAAATTAATTTTGTTATTTGGTTTTAGAACACCATCGATCAATGGCACTACGTCTTCCTGATAGGTGCTGCAGCCTACATAATACCTGCGGTGATATTTTGGTTGTTTGGATCTGGTGAAATACAGAAATGGAATGAAACTGATAAGAAATCCCCAAAGAGTGATACTATTAACACAAAATTGTAAAGAAAGTGATAACCTATCGGATATTCTGGTATTAAGTATTGTAAATTTATTTATAGCGTAAGTTGTAAAAATTCATGTCAGTTGAATATTTTTAAAATGTAGGTACATAAATATATAATTATTAAGCCCATTTGTAGGGCTATAGCTGCGTATATACATCTATATATAGTATATGCTGAAGTGATATGTACATACATATCGCTAGCTTAGAGTGAAAAGTTGCTAAGTCCATTTTTATAGGAGGTGATAAATTTCCTATAGCCATTTTCTTCAAGTATTTCTACAAACTTTGAATATAATATTTGCGTGTTTAAGGCAAAGCAAAAGTCCAAACGAATGAGAAGGATTCCATCTTTATTAAAAGATTTCATATTTTGACTTTAACGGATTTTCGGTGCCTCTTTTGGACTTACCAAATTTTCCTTTCATGGAATATACTTAAACAAGAAAAAATAAAGCAAGTACCTTTATATTTTTCGAAACGATGCATTCTTAATTCCTCTAGCTTCCTATATCAAAATATGAGTTTTCATAAGAAGTGAACTTAGCAACTTTTCACTCTACGCCAGCGATACATACATATACATACATAAAATCTACATATCGCACACGATCTTCAAAAGTGACACAAATCAAAATTTCACGTTCGTCAGAAAATGCGAAAAACTATTTCGTAGCACATGGTAATCATATGGGCAAGGGAGACATTACCTTAGGTTTTTTCAACAAATTATAGCAAAAATTTGCTCCAGCTTTTGCTCATACATAGGTAAATAAAAGCTCTGTGTGAATTTTTAGTGCATTATTTCAACAATGCCAAATTTTGAGTGGTGTCACTTTTGAAGACCGTGTACGATATGTGCTCGTGCTGTGAGCTAAATAAATACTACATGTAGAACTAAACTGAAAAAATTGTTTCCTTAATCAAACACTTACTGTTTAGGCGCGTCTGCTAACACCAGGCGCCTAAATATATGCTATGTACTGCTGCATGTGCAAAAATTTCCTTTATGCAATTTAGGAAATTTTTGCACATGCACTTCTCAACTGCCAAGTAATTGAACTTTCTTAAGTTTCAATAAGATGGCACTTCAAAGTATGCTCGGCCTAGTCTGATGCATCCTCCGGACACTGCTTCCGGAGTCTTCTGCGGACTCTGCATGGCTTACAACCATGCAGAGGTGGTAATAGTTGATTACCATTGGCCACAGTGCCTACCCACTACTTTTTGGTCCAATAAATATTTTTTTATATACATACATGCAAACATACTGGTCTCCCCTCTCACTGAGTTATTCACTTACTTCGCCTTCAAAACAAATGTTAGTCAAGCAGAAACCTATTTTTGTGTGGCTCAGAAACCCTGCGTAGATCGCTTTCGCTTCTGATTTGGCACTGCAACCATTTGTCGGCTTAGATCAGGACTAAACCACTTCGTCGACTGCGTCTCTGCATTGCAAAGTTCCGTCGGTTATTCACATCTGGTGTAGGCAGATATATCTGAACTTGACACTTCCATAAATTCCGAAGCGTCATTATGACTTTAAAGCTCGTAAAATATTACTTCCAGCGTCCTTCACTCGATCTGAGACATATGTACATAAATATTGCATAAAATAGCTTTTTCAAGAGTCCCAAAGTCTTCTTATCCTCATAATTAATGTTTTACGTCGTATAAAAGGACGGGAATGGTGGTAATAGAGATTGTTAGTCGAGAGAAGAAACTCCTTTTCAATTGCCAAAAGTAACACCCGTTAGCAAGAGTTATTCTTCTACCGATCCTGGGTATTTAAAGTCCTCTTTTGGTTCTTGTTGTTTTGACCCCGTGGGTGTACCTATGATGTATTCTGGAATGAGTTTCCGTCATCCCTTCTTAAACTTAGCTTGGAGAAAACCGGCACCACGCCGAAGCCATTTTCGGCATATGCAATTTTTCATTCTGGTTCATTCTAGTTTGCTGTTGTTTAGCTTGTTTTTTTTTAGGCGGTTACAGCATCAAATAAAAAGAAGAAAAAGATTGATATAAATTATCTACAGTACCTTTTAATTGAGCCGCACTGTGTTGTCATTTTTTATCATTTTTTAGACAACTTGGCAGTGTCTATCTAAAATTAAAATTATTTTCGAAGAAATTGGACAAAATTGTCCAGGGTCTGAAATTTAAGTAGAAATCCGAAAAAACTTATTAAAAATCGATGTAATGCAATGTGTTTAAAACTTTCACTAAAATTTCATAAGCCGCGTACCTGTACAGCCAAAAATTGCTAAAAATTCAAATCAAAAAGTTTAAAATTTTGCTAACAATTTACTTCGATTCATTTTTATTTCTTTTCATACTGCAGAAATTTGTATTACTTTTTATATTAGCCAAGGAACCCGTATTAGTATTCTTCTCCGCGTTCGTGCTCGTCCTCGGTTTTGTATATATTTAACTATTGTATATATTTAGCTAAGACTTCTGAAACAGCTGGAAACCCTCCTAAATATAGTTAAGATATAAACAAATTTCTTGCGTCTGATATTGTGATCCCTACATATTTCATGTGCCTGATGAATTAAGTTAAACTTTATTTTTTAAATACGTGTCAACGCTCCTAAATACAGTTCAGAAATAAAGCTTTTTAAACCCATTTCATTTGATACCCATACTTTTAATAATTCCTTTAACTTATTAGATAGTTTAAGCTTACCTTTTTGAACAAGTGGCAACCCTCTTAAATATTATTAATATTCAAACTAAAGAAATCTTACTACCTTCGTTTCACGTCATGCTTTAATATTTCATTTAACTTATGTATTCTATAAATAAATTCTAATTTTAAAACAGGTGGCAACCCAATTCAAAATATTTTAAAACCAAAACCTTGTTAAAGCTTTTTCGACTGACACACATATTGCAATACATATTTAAATTTTTTACCTAATTCCCTTAATTCAAGTTGAATTTAATTTCTAAAACAACCCTCTTAAATAAAGTTAAGAAAAAAAAGATTTTTAACCCATGTCAATTTATACCCATACTTTAATAATTCATTTGTCTTATTAAACAATTTTAGTTTAACTTTTAACACAGGTGGAAACTTTAGTGTTATAAATGCTGAAACTTAATTTTTCTTAACACACCTTTGTTTGACGCAAATATTTCAATATTTCATATAATTTAATTTAATTCGACTTTTCAAACAGATGGCAATCCTATTCAAATTATTATCAAACCAAAACCTCGCTAAACCCTTCTCGTCTGACACTCGTATTGTGATACATATTTAAATTATCTAATACTCTTATTTCAAATTGAATTTTATAATAAAATCAGGTGACAATACTTCTACATGCAGTTTGGAAATAAAGTTTCTTCAAAGCAATTTTGATTTATATTCATATTCTGACATCCATATCAGGATATACGTTTCAATTCCTTCCTTAATTTAAGCCGAACTTGCGCTTAGAAACAAGTGGCGACCCTCCTACAAACAATTAAGAAATAAAGATTTTTCAAAACCATTTCGATCGATACTCATACTGTAATAAGTGATTTAATTTAAAAATAATTTGAATTTCATTTTTTTAACAGGTGGCAACTCTTTTTGAAAATATGAGAAGTGATTGCACATCCACAGTCCAAGCCCTTTAATTTGATACCTCATTTTGTAAAATCGAACGAACGGTACAGATCTGATATGACGAAAAAGTTTTCGCGTATTATGCATTCTGATGTACATAAATACATACATATGTACATTAGACTGCATCACCAAAAAAAGTTGCGGTTTTTCCGCCGGGGTTACAAAATGTATTATATTTTAAGACGTCCACCAAAATATTTCGGTAAAATATTAAGATTTAAGCGAGCTGGACCGTTTTGAAAATACCTCCAAAAGTGGAGTTTTTTATGAATAAAAATAGTTTCTTAAAGAACTTTTTGAAAAAAGTGCCCTTAGATGACAAAACAAATTAGGCTTAAAAATTCTGCTTAAAATATTTAAAAATCTTTTCAACGTAATCGTAATAATAATTATTATTTTTGATGCTGTTTTTTTTACTTTTTTCAAAGATTGACTTACGAAAAACTTAAATAACTGAGCCAAAACTATTGTGATTTAGACTTATGGGATCTCGTTAGAAAGGTAACTTCCCACTATTTTTATTTATGTGCCAAAAAAGTCATTTGTGTACCAATATTTTTTTTTTCAAATACCAACACATCTTAATTCAACTTTGAATGATATTCGTTCATCCTACCTTTCCCTTTCATCCTTTGAATGAGTTTATCAGCAAAGAAATAAAAAGGGTGAGAAAATACCTTTCCAATGATATCTTACAAGTCTAAATCGGGAGAGTTTAGGCTCAGTTAGTTATTCAAGTTTTTCTTATACCAATCTTTGAAAAAAGTTAAAAACAGCATCAAAAATCTCATTATTACGATTCTGTTAAAAATTTTTTTTAAATTTTTAAAAAATATATTTACGCAAATTTTTTAGGCTTAAACCGTTTCATTTGAGGTGATTTTTTCAAAAAAAAAAATCTTTAAGAAACTATTTTTATTCATAAAAACTCCATCTTTGGAGGTATTTTCAAATCGGTCCAGCTCACTTAAATGTTAATATTTATCCGAAATATTTTGGTGGACGTCTTAAAATATAATAGATTTTATAATTCCAAAGGAAAAACAGTACCGATTTTTTTTTTGTATGGGGAGTGATGCAGTCTAATGTACGTACTTAGAGTACTAACCCTGCAAACATCGTTGGACCATGTAATCTATTTGTGGTTTATTGAAGTACTTCCAAAAGTGTTCCTCTGTCATGCTGTAGCGGCCCAACTCGTGTCTCTGCACCAACTTATTGTTACCCGATCACTGCTCGTGTTTTAACGAAATGTGATTGAAGTTGAGCATTTGAAAGCTCATTTGGATGTCTGGCTGTAGCTGAACGTGTAGAGATGCTTGCTGCTATTTGTTAGCTCCCAGCATGTTCCGGTTCGAATGCCGTCGGAGGCAACATGTAATTTTTTATGTTTGTTTTTGGCTTTTATTAATTGCGAAAAAGCATCTGTGAAGTGAAGAACAAAAGCGTGTACAAACGAAAAAATATAACAACAATGCGATTGTTAATATGTTGGAGTAGTTTTGTGCTACTCTGATGTAATGCAGAGATGGAGTATACCCTGTAGGGAAAACACGAACT